AATGAAATCGAAAGTATCGGTATGAAATTATGGTATCTAGTATATTTATACATACTTTTTAGTTATGGCCATTGAAAAGGCCTGGAAGAAAGGGCACTCCAATAGAAAAGAGCACACCTAACATCCAGTTTTTGGTTTCTAAATACCATTTCCTACTAAAAATGAACCAGGGATCCTAAGAGAAATGGCAGATTCTAGAGTTGGGAAGGGAAAGTATGAAATGTGTCTAAAATAACTTGTAACAGAAAGGAAGTGCCACTGACCAAATCTGGAATAACTGGAACAGTAAAATTAAATAAGTTTTATAATGGGTTATGACACTTTATAAAATAAGAATCTATGAGTCCAAACTGATGATAAATAAGGGCATACATACATAGGAGTAAAGAGAGGGCTATTTCCTATAACAGAATGCTGTTAAAATCGAAGAAGAGGTAGAATTGGGGTAAGGGGAAATCAGAATTTTTTCCACTATCAGAATAAAGGCTGCTCCAGGCAAGAACCATCAATAGATGTCAAATCTAAGGGTGAACTATGAGGACCCAGATATCTGCATGATATTAAAATGTCTTCCCACAGATGCTTATTAGTTGCAAGGGGGGAAATATTAATTTACTGGAGAAGCAAGACCACACTTTTGCCAGATGATCAAAATTAAGAATGGGCAGATGGACATTGTGATACCTTAAAGACACACTTGTGAAATGTTCTAGCCAGTAATGCATGACCTGAATCCCATCCCAAGAAACCATCAGAAATCCAAATTAAAGAATATTTCAGTCTATGGTCACGCTACTCTGAACAAGCCCGATCCTGTCTGATCTCGGAAGCTAAGCAAGGTCGGACTTCATTAGTATTTGCATGAGAAACCACCTAGGAATATCGGTTGCTGTAGGCATAAAAAATTAAAAAATAAGGGATTGTAAACTGACAAGGTCCTTGCAATCTGTGAGGTCAACCAAGAATTGACTCGCCTAAAAATAAATAAATAATAATAATAATAAAGAACATTTCGTAATATACTATACTTTTTATTCTTTATTTCATAAAGAGTCTGTACTCTTCAAAAATGACAATGTTCTAAAAGACAGAGAAAGGCTGAGGAACTGATACAAATTAGAGGATTGTAAGAGACATGACAACTAAATGCAATGAGTGATCCAGGACTAGATTCTGTACCAAAAAAAAAAAAAAAATACGATGAAAGACATTAGAACAGTTGACAAAATGAGAATATGGACTATAGATAAAAGCATTATATCACTATTAAATTTCCCATATTTGATAAATATGCTGTGGTTACAGACATACATATTGAAGTATTAATGTATAAAGGGCATGATGTATGCAACCTATTCTCAAATAGTTTAGAAAAAATAAATTCACAGAGATAATAAAAGTATCAACAAAATATTGTTTTCTGTATTGTTCTTGCAACTTTTCTATAAGTTTGAAATTATTTTAAGTCAATTAGCTTCAGAGGATATCTAATAAAATAGACCAGTAAACCAAAAAAGTGATTGTGGGTTTTTCTTCCAAAACAGTACCAGTTTAAAACCTGCTGTTCCATAAAGACTAACTCATTCTATATCCTAAATTGGATCAGGATACAAATACCAGATTTCAACTATTTGTTTAAAACGTTAAGGACTTTTGAAACATATTAATGGTACATAGTAAGTATTAAAACAGAAAAAAGGATTTTATGCTAACTTTGGTGTGCTTTGGGATTTTAAATTGATAGCAATTATACTTTTGTGAAACTTTCGTATAGAGAAAGTTACGCAATGTGCAAGGTAAACTATAATGTACACAAATGTTTAATACATAACTTATAATAGCAATAAAAATGTGAAAACCTAAAATCCAACATTAGAGGAATAAATTCTGATTGATTTCCATACTATAGAATACAACGATTTTTTAAAATTAGTATAGCATAACTACAAAAATATAGATATACTACATAATAGATTGGAAACAAAAGTTGCCGATATATCTGTACGAAAAATCAGAATTGTGTTATGTGTTTATATATGTGCCCAGAAACAAAGGTCTGAAAGGATACAGCCAAAACAGTTCCTAGCTCCCTGGGAGAGGGAGAGAGTAGGGGGAAGGGCACTACTATACTGTTTTATTGTTTGAATTTTTTACCTGAGAGATCATGTACTGCATTTGCTATTAAAAAAAATAAGATTTCAATGCATTTTGATGAAATACAATTTCAATGAAGAACATAAAATATAATTCTGATATCAGAACTATAACATTCTTGTCACTTAACTATAACAAGATCTTTCTGTTCAAGTACCTTTATGCTATTGGTTCCATGGTTTTAATTTTTAATTTAACAAAGCCAATGTCAATGTAAGAAATAACCAAACATGTAGAGAATTTTTATGAGGATTCGAGCCAAAACTGACAATTGAGGGGAGGCAAGATCTCAAATGATCTGTAGAATGGCGGTTTAGTTTCTTTTATGCATTTGAAATTAAGGAAGATTACATGAAGGTGGAAGAAAGCAAGGTGGGGAGGGTTGGATTACCAGATAATTAACAAGATTATGTGCTCTTTTGAGGGTCATTATTTCAAAGGTCTGTTAATCCTAGATGCACAAAAACAATAAACAGGGCTTGCTTAAGGCAAAGATAACCCTTTTATTAAAGAAGTTATATGCCTAGTTATATGCCCTGTGAGGTTACTTTCCATAGAACCCCTTTTTCATCCACCTCAACAAAATGTTAGTTACTTAATGATACTAACAAACATTAAAAAAAGTATCCACACAACATCTTTGAGAAAGTTTATTCTGAGAATTTCAGTTGACAGCCAAACCCAAGTATGATCTACATGATGTACTTTACAACTATAAATGGTTTATAGTTTTCCAGTATTTTAACAGTGGAAAGACGTAAATTCTTGAACTCTGAATTACTGACCATCTTGTTATACATTTCATGAATAGGAAAGATCATCATTCAGGTGTCCTTTTACTAATATAAGCAAGACTTAAGTAACTGAGAATTAAATTAATCAAACATTAAGTTGTTAGCACAGTATGTTTGAGGCACTGGGCACTGGTGATACAAAGACAATCCTTTAATCAAGAGAATCTTAAAACGTTTTTTAAAAAGTATTTTAAATTAATGCAATAATAAAATTAAGAACTCTTTCCTCTAGAATCTAAACTACTCCCTTAATTAGGTAATTTGAGTGACAAATTCTTTTAGCCACTGTTTGCAATGTAGTTTTAAGTCACATTCAGGGTCCATTTGTAATGAACAGATTTGTAATGAGTCAGCGATAACTCTGAATAGGCTCACTATTCGATAAGCAGTTGTTACACTTGTAAGTGACAGTCACTGAGATTGTGTTTGTTGGGAATTTTTTATCTATTCTCCTTAGCATATTAGTCAATGTCTAGGGATCTTTATAAAAACAATTTTTTTTTCAGGCCTCTAAAATATTATTAGGAATACCATCATTACAATAAATAAAAACAAATAGATATGCATGTAAATCTATTAACAGTAATTGCGTTAGTACTGAAACTTTCATTACCAGAAGTGACACACATGAGAATATGTCTATGCTAAGCACCTGGAGAATATTTGTTTCCTTATCTGGTGTACTAAAAGAAACAATCAATTTTCACTCTTTAGTTCTTTCCAGAGTCTAACTCAGCCCAGTGTACAAGGCTATGGGAATAAACGGATTTGTTCTCTGACCTCAACTCAAAATTTAGTGGGGAGAAAGGCACACAATCTACATGACAACATCGTTAACATCTAACTTTCAACGAGAAAAGTAGATAAAGATAATAGTGAGAAATGTTGCTCTTTGAGAAATAACATTCAAATGAGTACTCATCCATTTTCGAAAATCCTTCTTTGAGTTGTCATCACAAGCACCACACCGTGGGTGAAGAACAGTGCTCTGAAGCGGGACCCTTGGTTTCCCAATTCTAACACATAGGAAGTAGCTGTGTGACTTCAGGCTTGTCACTTAACCAGACTTGGCCTCAGTTACTTCGTCTAAAAATGTCAGTATTATCTTACCAGCCTAAACCAAAGTCATCTTACCAGCATAAACCAAACTGTTTTTAGTGGCTTCTGGGTCTAAGACCCGCATTACTCACACACTCATCCATCATATTTCCTAAGTAATCATGGCCCAGGAACCAGTGAGTAGCTAGGTGAATTACAGTTCCTAAAATGAACTTTTACATCTCTAATATAATAAACTGGGATAGGCCCTGCATTGTAATTTACACGTTGTGAGTTCGAAAAAATTTATTACACACGCCAGGATACAGTCTTATTCAGATGATCAAGAATAACTGAATGTCTGATTTGTGTACCATTATAGCACAAGAATAGGGTGTTCTTATCAAGAATCCCAATTTCAGCACTACAGGAACCATACCTCCAGGAGAAATCCACGAAATATCAGAAAAACCTCTCCAGGAGATAGGGAGAGATCCTGGATAAGCCAAGACAAGCTCTCCAAAAAAACAAACAAACAAAACAAAACACAAACCTGTTTTTTCCTTCCCTCCAGCTATGCACTGAAAAGAAACACTAGATTAGCATCATCTGCATTTCATTCCTGTTCTTTTGCAATAGCTACCCGAGTATAATAAACAGACCTTGTGCTCAGGGGAGAATTTACTTCCCCGTCCAGTAAAAATGAAGTTCCTTATTTTCACTAACAACGCCGTCTCCAATCAACACCCATCCTCCCTGGGGAGGAGACCAAGCACTCCTCTCCCCGCCACCTCCTGCTGCAAGCCCGGCGCCCCACATCCTAGAAATCGCCCCACTTTTCGAAACCTTGCTGCACGGGTCTCGAGGCTCTAGAGGAGAATGGAAAAGGCCGGGAATGCGGCGTGCAGACCCAGAGGGGCGTCCAGACTGGCCGTCGGCTCCAGGCTGCCCTGGTGGGCCAGGGGCTCGCGGACACGGAAAGGGAGCGGCGAGCCCCGCGCCACCCCCACTTACCCACTTTGTCCTTCCCGTACATGTGTCCAGCCACCTGATGCGAGAGGGGTACGCAGCCGTTGAGAAAGTGGAGCCTGCCGCCCCCCGGCTTCGGGGTGCTCTCGGAGACGGCCTCGCTCGCTGGTGGGGTCCGCATTTCTGGGGGGCCGGGTGCCTCAAGCCGGATGGGGGATGGTGGCTCCGCTGCCATAACGGAGAGGTGAAGCGTTAGCGGCAGCAAGGGCAGGAAAAAAAACAGAGTGGAGAGACAGGGCGCCGGAGAACCCGGGGGTCGCTCAGGCTCGGCCGCGAGGAGGCCCGGGGGTTCCCGCGGCGGGTGCCCGC